CCCAAGTAGCTGGGATTACAGGCGCATGCTGCCATGCTCAGCTAATTTTTGTGTGCTTTAGTAGAGATGGGGTTTCATCGTGTTGCCCAGGCTGGTCTCAAACTCCTGAGCTCAGGCAATTCACCCACCTCAGCCTCCCCAAGTGCTAGGATTACAGGCATGAGCCACCTCACCCGGCCTAGACAGTGTTTTCAAAGACTGCTTAATGAAACTATTAAACATTCATGATTTGTGCTAACTGAAAAGGTGAAGCTATAACAATGTGGTATGACTGCAATTTTATTTAAATAAAAACTATAACCCTACGTAACATGGCGAAACCCCAGCTGTACAAAAATTTGAAAATTGGCCAGGCATGGGAGTGTGCCTATAGTCCCAGCTACTCAGGAGGCTGAGGCAGGAGGATCGCTTGAGCCCAGGAAGTTGAGGCTGCAGTGAGCTGAGACTGTGCCACTGCACTCCAGCTTGGGCGACAGAGTAAGACTTGTCTCAAAACAAAAAAACAAAAATACTATACATACCACTGTGTATCCATGTTAAATTTCCCAATTTTGATAACTACTGTGTCCTTGTAAAAGAATGTCCTTGTTCTTAGGAAAAACAAATGAAATATTTAAAGAATGAACTATCATGATATATACAACTTATTCTGAAATGGTCAGAATATACATAGAGAGTGAAAGAGAAAATGGTAAAGTAAATGTGGCAAAATGTTAACAATTGGTGAAGCTAGATAAATAGCATGTGAAAATTTTTGTGCTATTTGCAGTTTTCATGTAAGTTTGAAATTATTTAAACCCAGGCACCAAATGGAGAATAAGTGTAGTTTTTTTTTTTTTTTTTTTTTTTTTAATAAGTGTAGTTTTTAAAAGTACATATAGATGTGGCCAGGTATAGTGGCGCACGCCTGTATAATCCCAGCACTTAGGGAGGCTGAGGCAGGCAGATCACTTGAGGTCAGGAGTTCCAGACTAGCCTGGCCAACATAGTGAAACCTCATCCCTACTAAAAATATAAAAATTAGCCAGGTATGGCAGCATGTATCTGTAGTCCCACCTACTCGGGAGGCTGAGGCAGGAGGATTGCTTGAGCCCAGGAGGCGGAGGTTGCAGTGAGCTGAAATCATGCCACTGCACTCCAGCCTGGGTGATGGTAGGGAAATCCTGTCTCAAAACAAAACAAAACAGGGTACATATAGATGTATAATACAATTATAAAATTATATTAATTATATTATCTGGAAATTATATGCTGGGATATTTGATATACATGTAAATAGATAGATGCTGGAGAAAACGCTGAGAGGAAATACACTTAAATGTCATAATAATTATGTCCAGGTTTTACAATTCTAAGTTATGCTATTGTCTTTTTTGCACAAAATTCTCTACAAGGAGTGTGTCCTATGTCTGTAAGTGGAGGGAAGGTGACTGTAAGCAGCTAAGGCCCAGTGTATTTCCCTCTCCAGATTCCAGAGACAGTCCCAGCTCATGGTTGCACGGTGGGTCAGGAGCATGAGGCTAGTGGCTGGTCCAAGGCTGGTCCTGGGACACGGTGGGGCTCACCTGAGCTGGAGTAGTGGTACAGCTCCGTGTAGGGCTCAATGTGCACGGAGGAGCCGAAGGGAATCTGCGGCACGCGGCCCTCCAGCTCCGTGTCAATGGTCAGGTGTCCATGCTCATCAATGCCGCTGAACCGCTGCTTAATGACCAGCTTGCCCGGGTGCTCCATGAAGGTCACCTCAGCCTGGCGAGTGAACTCGCCCCCTGAAAAACAAGACAAGACTGTCACTTTGCCATCTGGGGAGGATGACCTTCTGTCCGCCTCAGGTCACAGTGTGGAGCGGTGTTGGTGTGAACCCTTCTGCGGGTGCTTTAGTTTGGCTGGTAGACCATGGAGCTGGTGACAACGAGAGCGCTCAGACATCCCTGTGGCCCAGCTGAGCCATGTACAGAGGAGAGAAGAGGCTTCCCAGCCACAAACCAGCATCTGCAACGGGTTGACTCAAGGGTTGTTGTGGAAACAGCAGAGGATGGGAGTTTGACTCCCAGCGGTGCTAGGTTCTGTCTGGGTAAACTTGGGTAAGCTACTTAACTTCTCTGAGTCTCCATTTCCTGGTGATTAAAAAAAGAATACAGTCTATGTTGTAAAGGACACAATGTATGTTCTGCAAATTGTCAGGTGCCCCACAATGCCAGTTACAGTGATAATTATTGAAATAGCTAAGTCCTGGTCAGATGGGTGAGTTGCTCAGGGCAAACCATTCCCAGTACTGAAAACCACCCAAGGATCACATGCTACCATGATGGCTCAGGAACTTCTCTTGGTCTGTGCAAGACGGCAGCCCCAGACAGGCAGGAAAAGTACTTCTCCCTTTTCCACAATGGCCTGCCCCATGATAGCAGGGGTTGACAAACTACGGCCTCAGGGCTAAATCTTGCCAGCTGCTTATTTTTGTACAACCCTTGAGCTAAGAAAGGTTTTTACTTCTTTTTTTCTTTTCTTTTGAGACGGAGTCTCACTCTGTCACCTAGGCTGGAGTACAGTGGTACAATCTTGGCTCACTGCAACCTCCACCTCCCGGGTTCAGGCAATTCTCTGCCTCAGCCTCCTGAGGATCTGGGATTACAGGCACATGCCACCACACCTGGCTAATTTTCTTTTGTATTTTTAGTAGAGACATGGTTTCACCATCTTGGCCAGGCTGGTCTCGAACTCCTGACCTCATGATCCACCTGCATCGGCCTCCCAACATGCTGGGATGACAGGCGTGAGCCACTGTGCCCAGCCAATGGTCTTTACATTTTATTAATGGTTAAAAAAATAAAAAATCAAAAGAACAGCATTTCATAGTATGTGAAAATTATATAAAATTTAAATTTCAGTGCCCATTCAAAAAGTTGTATTGAAACACAGCCGTGCCCATTCATTTATATATTGTCTGTGGTTGCTTTTCACTCTACAATGACAGTTGAGCTGTTGCAACAGAGACAATATGGCCTAAAATATTTAGGCATAGCTTAAAGTATTTACTATTAAGCCCTCTGCAGAAAAAGTTAGACAACCCCAGCTTTATAGTTGAACAAGTCCCAGGCAAATATCTCATTGATAACACAGGACCAGGAGAAATTCTGAAGGATCACTGCAGTAGCAGAGATGTGCTATTGTAGGGAATTTGCAGACTCCCTCTCCCTCATCCCTGCTGAAGTCCATGTATATTACAAAATATCACCAATATAAACGAACTCATTTAAAAATACCACCAGTGTGAAAGCTGTGCAGGGAAGGAGTGGGGTCTGTGAGTTTTACTGCCCCCAATTATAAAGTAGCAAATCTTTTGAGCAGTTTCACTCCTTTTTTTTTTGAGATGGAGTCTTGCTCTGTTGCCCAGGCTGGAGTGCAATGGCACGATCTTGGCTCACTGCAAGCTCCAACTCCTGGATTCAAGCAATTCTCCTACCTCAGCCTCCCAAATAGCTGGGACCACAGGTGCCTGCCACCACGCCCAGATAATTTTTTGTATTTTTAGTAGAGAAGTGGTTTCACTGTGTTGGCCAGGATGATCTCAATCTTCTGACCTTGTGATCTGCCCTCCTTGGCCTCCCAGAGTGCTAGGATTACAGGCGTGAGCCACTGCGCCCAGCCTCACTCCTTTTCTAATACATAGCCTCTCCTTTCTTAAGACAGCCACACTCTGTGTATTTATATGCCATGACTTTGAGGGGTTACCAGCGTGGAGCCTGGATGGAGACTCTGCTTCCAGCAGTGGTTCCTCTAATAAAGCCTTGGCTAAGGCTCCAGGTTGGTTGAGGCAGTGTGGGAGAAGGCAGGTCTAGGTTGTTGGAGGCAGTGGCTAGGTACCTGTGCCCCAGCACAAAAGCTCCAGGTCCTGGAAGTGACCAGCGATGAAGGAAACAGACTCCTCCGACCCAGCTGTTCCTGGGAGTGGGTTTCCAGCACTCAAAGGTTGGGCTTGTCTCGGCAGAGCAAGGGAAAGGCCACGACAACACCAAGGAAACATCCTTCAAGCCATCTGGCCACATGTCCAATAATGACTGAACCTTCCTCAGTAGGGCATGGTCTCTAAAAAACTCCAAAGATATTCAAGTTTCCTAAGACTTCTGAGGATTATGTTGATGCAGCTTAATTAACCAGCTAGAAATGACAGGTTCCTTCTCTCTGAGCAGATACTGAGGAAATGTCAAAGTCAATTTCAGGTTGGTTTGGAATTCAGAGGCAGGCTTGATAGAATGAGGCAAACTGTGAGCCCCACAGTTTTGGCTGTGAGGTTCTATGAGCTGATATTACTCGTTCTGCCAGAAACACCTAAATCTCCACCAGGAGACTGCTCCTCAATCAAAACCCAATTCTACGCAGTCTCGGTTGCTATATACTAATGGTAATATTACATGTTCATTTTACCTCATCATCTTATTTCCAGGATAGAACTACAGGATGTCCTGTCTTCTGACAAAAAGGAGCAACAGCATGCTCTTCACTAAGTTGTCTGCAGACTCAGAGTTCTCTTTCTATTCATTCCCAGGCCTCCCCCCAGGCACCACTCTGTGACTCATTAATTTTCATGTCGGATGTAAATTACCAGTGATGCTGAACCCATTCTTGAATCCATCTTGCTCCACTGCAAACATCCATCCAATGATGCCTCCAACTGGGGCCAGCGGAAGCAGAGAATATCCAAGGGTCTCGGGAATGGTACTGATGGCTGTGTAGGAGCGCCCGTGGTTCATTACTACGTAAGAGTGGAGGTCAGTGTTCTCAAAGACAATGGGGACCTGGCTGTTCCCCACAAAGATCCTTCCTTTCACCTTGCCATTGACTCGCTGGGGGGAACCTGAGCAAGGAAACAAAGAAAGAATGTAGAGACCACTTCCAAGCCAGCCTTTCAAACAAGAGTAACGTGTATGACCTGTACTTATTGAAGAAAGCAAAGAATCAAAACAGCACTGGCATACATGGCTTTGGGTAAGCAAAAGGAGCTGTTCTTCCTGAGAGTACCCACAGCTGCATGCTGTGAGCCTTCAAAATTCCAATGCCCCTGACTCTCTCTTCCCTGTGACTGAAAATGGATAGCACAAAAGGTGGCTCCACGTACAGCTATTGAGGAACTGCAGGAGCAAAAAACAGAATTTCAGAAGAATATCAGGGTGATCTAGAACTAAGGGGACCATAGAATTTCTCATATCTGACAGTAAAAGGAGGCCAGGCGTGGTGGCTCATGCCTGTAATGCTAGCGCTTTGGGAGACCGAGGTGGGTGGATCACCTGAGATCAGGAGTTCAAGATCAGCCTGACCAACATGGTGACACCCCACCTCTGCTAAAAATAAAAAAAAATTAGCTGGGCATAATGGCAGGTGTCTGTAATCCCAGCTACTGGGGAGGCTGAGGCGGGAGAATCGCTTGAACGCGGGAGGCTGAGGTTGCAGTGAGCCAAGATCACACCATTGCACTCCAGCCTGGGCAACAGAGCGAGACTCCGTCTCAAAAAAAAAAAAAAAAAAAAAA